TAATTTACTGTTCTAACTTTACTCACGTTTGTACCACACGGCATCATTGGTTTAGACGAATACGGCTGTTGGTTTGATATTCGCCAGCGGTAGCTGATGGTATCATCATGCAAGGCTCATTATATCATAATCACTATTGTTCCTCCCAGAAAAACCCATTCACTATGAGACAAAATTTCGTCATCTTATTCAGTAAGTCAGTTTCGATGATCACGCTAATTCTGTCGCAATTGCGGAGGCACGCGCGACTCTCACAACGCCTCCAAAGTTTTCATCCTGTGCGGGTGTTTGATCTTCGCAGTGACATCTCGAATCTGAGTCAGAACCCTTACATACACTTGCCACATGTTATTCTGGGCAATCGCCGGGCTCTTTGATCGCTCGATTCGGCATGTAGTAGCTATTTCTTTTTATCTTCTGCAAATATTCACACAACGTGCCCTAACCATCACAGTTGTGACTTCTCAATCTACAGATTAGGTGGTGGTCGTCCAGGACTCTCTAAAATATTTGTTTCCTGAACCATGTCGAGAAGCGTTAGCTCAGCGATTCGTATCAGGTTAGTACTTAAATTTTTTCAATCATGGCCCATATGTACTATAGATGAGGATTTGGTGAAGATCGACTTGAACACAGGGAGTTTTTTCTTCAAACTCAGCTCCGCACTACTTGCAATCGTTCAGGATAGTTTAGTTAAAACGCCGCTGGTCATTCCAATTCGCCGTTTGATCTCCTTGCCATTTTTGATTACCAGTAAATACGACCCTAATCTCTAAAGCGCAACTGGCAGGAGAACGAGAAGACAGGATTTTCGTTTTAGACACTATCTCACGCGTGCCGGCTACATCGCACTCCGCTGCAAACAGCAAATTTCTGGTCTCCACTTTACACTGATGGAGTCGTCAGCCTGACTGCTCTTCATTACCCTGTCAGCATAAACTCTAACAGGAGATGGGACAGAACGCAGCTCCACCGTTGAAAGGTCTCGACTTAACGCAGTTTGCTCTGACCCAGCACCT